AGTGGGGGTTAGGCTACCTGGGTTTCTGGTGAGAAATGAATGGCTTGAAGATTAGCAGGTCTGAGGTAGATAAAACAGGCAGGTTTGTTCTGGCAGCATGGATGGAAACACTGGCTCTGAAAGCAGAGGACCAGCACTCAAGATGCACCTCGGGCACTTCTAGCTGGCTGACCTGTGGCAAATCACAACCTCCCCGGACCCCGTTTCCTCATCTGTAAAATCAGACCTAAAAGGGGGCCAGACTAAAAAGCTTCTAAGGTGCCTTCTAGCAAAAACAATCAACAAACACATAGAGGGACACTGTTCTCGTCCCCTAGATAACTTGTGCTTCCCTGGAGAGGCCTACCCTAACAATCAAATATTTTGTGAGAGCCAATGCAAAGCACTTCAGTGTCCTCTGGGAGAAACGACGGACTGAAACCCCTTACGGGAAGCTGGGTCCCAGGCACCACTAAGAAACTGATGAGAGGCTTTTTTCATCCATTCATCTTTATTACTAAGGAAGGAACAAGTTCTGCTTTCTGTTGTTTTACAGGGCAGAAACCTTGTGGTGTATTGGTGAGAACACTGGAGGTGGAGCCCAAGGCCCTGGGCTTAAATCTCAACTGTTACTACCTTATCAATGAGCCAAGCCCTCAGAGCTTCATCCTCATTTGTAAAATGAAGGGACTGTACTAGACTGTCCCAGCCAGCTCTAAATTCTACAGTACCACAAATATTTAAGCATCCACTGTGTGGAGGACACGTGCTGGGCTTTGGGGGGGCATACAGTTTAGGTAAAGTATGGTTCTCACCCTGAAGGAGCTTACAGCCTAAGGGTGATAAGACACTTAAGCAAAATAATACACAATATTTATAGGATCACAGACCTAGTGATGAAAGCAGTACTGTGCTGGCAAATGTTTAACAACTGGCTGGGGGGAAGGGAAGAATGTATGTAGGACACACCTTTAATAATCTGCATTATTACATTCTATCACTTTCTTAGGTCTAAATAATCAGCAAAACAATAAACCAAGCCCTGATTTTTAACATTTGCCAATTTCCAAGGTGTAAATGCTCACGCTGAAAATTTAACAACTAGCTCTCAGGAGCCAGTTTAAGCCGGCTCCAGCACATCCCTGAATGAAAGGAACCTCAGAGGCCTCTGTATTTTACAGATGAAGAATATGAGGACCAGGGAGGTTTTCTCTAAGTGCATTCAATTCAAGTTACAAAACAAAGTTCCATGGGGGGAGGGGGGGGAGGGTAGGAAGAAGGTAGGGTGATCAGAGAAGAGTTTTTGAGGGAGGGAGTATCTGAGATGAACTTTAAGGGATTCCTATATATTCAACAGGAGAAGAGGTGGTGGGAAGACATTCTGGGCAGAGGTTATATAATATGAGTAACATGAACAAAAAGCATACATTGGTCCATGCATTTTTGGTCCAAAATTTCATACAGGAGCTCCCTATGGGAAATTCCCTCCACCAGTGCAGATCTACACCTCATATCCTTTGAGTGTCGCAGGGTTCCAAAAGGTTGCCTGATTTATCCAGGCCCACAAATTCAGTATATATCAGAGTACTCTCCTGACTCACTCTCCATTCACAGGGTAGCTGGTAGTGCAGTGGATTGAGTGCCAGGCCTTCAGTCAGGAAGATCTGAGTTCAAATTTAGACCCAGACATTTACTGTATGGCCCTGGGCAAGTCACCGTCTCAGTTTCCTCATCTATAAAATAGAGATTATAATAGCAACTATCTAACACAGTTGCTGTAAAAATAAAATGAGATTCTATTTGTAAAGCACTTTGGCACATAGCAGGTGCTACATAAATGCTAGCTACTAGCATTATTATTACTGCTCCGTTTTGCTTCTCAGATCACATAAGGTCATTTAAAAAGAGAATTTCACTTCTGACAAAGTTTCCTCCTGTTTCCTCCCAGCTTTGATCCCCGATCTGCACAACTCCAGGCTCTGCTTCTCCCACCCTCAGGATCTAGAGTACAGAACTAAATGGAAGACAACTTTTCTGAGCCTCAGGTTCTCATCTGTAAAATGAAAGACTGGCCTACAGTCCCCTAAAGCTTCAATTCGCCATCTCATCAATCAGGGGTAGTTTCAGAAGGCTCAACATGCAGAAGAACTTCTTCTTGCTCCTGGAAAGACTTCCCAAAGGCTCTAACTCCCCTGTGCCTCCCTACATCCAAGTGTCCTTCCTTGGCTGCCACTATTCTCAATACACATCAGGGGTTCTGAACCAGGGATTCATGAATATTTTTTAAATATTTTGATAACAGTATTTCAATGTAATTGTTTCTTTCCATAACTCCTTTTACTTTACTTTAGCATTGAAAACATTCTGAGAAGTGGTCGGTAAAAGAGTCTACGACACAACCCCTGCCCTCCTGTGGTGGGCTATGAAAGTAGAATATTGCATGTATGTCGGACTCAGGTGATTTGTTGGTTAGTTTTGCTAAACTACTTGTTTTCTATCTTTTTTATTTTCTTATTATAAGGGATGGCTCACTGAGGAGCGATAAAAACAAAAATTATCAAAATTTTTTTCAAATAACAGTCCCTGAAGCACAGGGACTATCAGTCAATACACATTTATTAAGTGCCTACTATGTTCTAAGGATTGGGGATACAAAGAAAGGTAAAAGATGCTCCCTACTCTTAAGGAGTTCACGGTCTAATGGGGGCGGGAGGGAAGCAACTTGCAAATAACTATGTACAAACAAGTTACATACAGGAAAAAATTGGAAACAATCAACAGAGAGAACACTAGAATTAAGGGGGATCTAGAAAGGCTTCTTATAAATGGTGGGATTTTAGCTGAGACTTTAGGCAAAACCAGAAAAGCCAAGGCAATTCCAGGCATGCGAGACAGCCGGAAAAAAAAATGCCCATACACAGGAAGAGTATCTTGTTCCAGAAACAGCAAGGAGGCTGGGCATCAAAGACTATGTGGGAGGGGTGTAAAGTTTAAGAAGGCTGGAAAGGTAGGAGGAGGCTACTGGTCACAAAGGACTCTGAACTCTCCAAACAGAGGATTTTATATTTGATACTGGGGGTGTTAGGAAGCTCGTGGAGTTTAGATCTACCATTTAGGAAGATCAGTCTGATGGCTGAACGTCAATTTTGCATTTGTATCCCTAGCATTGTCCCCTATCACTGCCCTGGTCAATAAGCTCCAGAGGATCCCTATTGCCTCTGCTGTTGTTCAGACGTGTCTGACTGACTCTTCCTGGGTCCATTTGGGGTTTTCTTGGCAGAGACTGGAGTGGTTTTCTCCTCTGGCTCATTTTACAGATGAGAAAACTGAGGCAAACAGGGTTAAGTGACTTGCCCAGGGTCACACAACTAGTAAGTATCTGAGGCTGGATGTGAATTCAGGAAGGTAAGTCTTCCTGACTCCATACCCAGCACTCTATTCACCGTACCACCTTACCTCTAGTATATCAAGTATAAACCCTTCTGTCAACTAAAACCCCACTCTACTTGATTCCAGCCTATTGAGGCTTATTATACATTTCCTTTACTGCCTGTGTGACCCTGACCAACTAACTTCACATCTGCCTGCCTCAGTTTCCTCATCTGTAAAAAGAAGATAACATTTAACCTCGCAAGGCTATTCTGAGGGATCAAATGTTTGTAAAAGCACTTTGGAAACCTGAAAGCACTGTGTAAATGGAAAGGCACAGTTTCTGTGCCTTTCTGTGCACGACCAGTCCCCCTCTTTGCTATCACCTCAAGACCTTCCCTGCCTGATGCCTCCAGCTGCCAGTGCTTCCTTACCACAATGCCTTAAAAAGACCTGACATTTACTTTGTCTACATTGTGTATTTCACCTACACTTGTTGTTTCCCCCCTAGAACATAAGCTTCTCATGGAAAGGGACTGGGTTGGTTTTTGGTTTTTTGTGAGGGTTGGTCTATGCATCCCCAGCCTCTAGCACAAATTGAATGCAGTTTTAAAAATGTTGTTCATCAGGTGGTAACCACTGGTTCCGTAGCCAGAGGACCTAGATTCAAATCCCAGTTCTGACACCTGCCTCTGTGATACCTCTCTGGGCCTCAGTTTCCTCATCTATAAAAGAATGGGGTTGGAGCTCTCTTCATCGATGATCTTGTGACCAATTTTCTATCATAAGAGACAACATTGGGCAGAGGCCAGGCAACCCTCTTTTGGAGGATTCCCGTTTCGGGTAAAAAAGCCGCCTGTTGGGGCAGCTAGGCAACGCAGTGGATACAGCACCGACCCTGATGTCAGGAGGACCCGAGTTCAAATCCGACCTCAGACACTTGACATTTACTAGCTGTGTGAACCTGGGCAAGTCACTTAACCCCAATTGCCTAAAAACAAAAAACAAAACAAACAAAAAAGCCGCCTGTGGACTGAATGCTTAACGAGCCCGACACTCTGAGGGTCTGGGATCCCACTCCCCTAGAACAAATTCCACTGTCAAACTCTGGGACATTAGTAGGAAGGGGATGGGGGGGGTCATCCAGCGAGGTGGGAGTCCAAAAGCCCGGAGTTCTGCCTCGGACACTGGCTGGCTGAGCGACTTGGGCCTCCGTCTACCTCCGTTTCCCCATCTGTAATACTCCCATCTGGGAGTAATAACAGCCCCTCTTCCAGGTGAGCATGATTTGAGACAAGCCATTTGCACAGCGCGATGGGCCGCTCCAAGGCCCTCACTTCGCCCGTGAGGAGGGTCTCTCTGCAGGGCAGCCCGCCCTCGGCTGGGCCGGCCCCAGAGGCCTCTGCCCACCCGCGACAGCCCTTCGGTCCCCAAAGGCCTCCGGGCCGGACGGAGGCCGGCAGGTCCTGCTCCCTCGCCTCGGGGTGTTCCCTCTCCTCTCCCTCAAGCCGGCCGGCCCTCGCCACTCTAGCCCGTGCCCCCCAGCTCCCGGCCCGTAGCGCCCTACGACTGACGGCGCCTGGGGGGGGGGAAGAGGCAAGAGGCGCATGCTCAGACGGCTCCCTTCAGCCCACCCCACCCCCGCCGCGCACCTGGGAATCCCTAAACTCCACCACCACATTCTCGCTGCTCCACCGCGCCGCCATCTCCGGCCTGACCGCCGCCGCCACCCCACGGCCGCTGCGCTCCTCCCCTCGGCTCCGCGCGCCGAGGCTTCGGCACGCAGGAGGACGCACCCTTCACCTCAGACCACCCCCTCTACGCCCCACCCATCTCGCTGCTCGGCCTGCCATTGGTTGTTGCCTCAGCATTGGCTCCGCCCCCACCCCTCGTGGTCTAGCGTGCACGCGCCCTGCCAAACACAACCGGCCCCTCGCCTTAACCTCCCCTCCCCTCCCTGACCTAGCTTGGGCTCTTATCGCTTCCAGGTGACGTGACGTAACACGGAGGCGAAGCCTCCTGGGTTCTCAGAAACTGGAGCCCCGCCCCTTCCCGTTTTGCCTCAGGCTCTGTCGGGAACTGTAGTCCCTGGCCAACCCGGGCAGAAGCTGTGGGCGGGGCAAAAAGGATTACACGCAGGTGGGCGAGGGACCAGCTCAGGTTCCTTTTTCCCTATCTCCTAAATCCTGTTCAAGGATAGACAGACGAACGGACAGACGCAGGGACAGACTGATAGACTCATGGATCCAGGGTGGATGGACGGACGGAGATGTTAAACAGAAATATGAATGGATAGACAGGCACGGGGATGAATGGATGGAAAGACAGAATCAGCCCCAGCCTCGGGAGCTGCCCTCCCTCCAACCATTCCCACACATGTCGATTTCTCCCCTATGCCAAAGACATCCGTTCCCCCAGCACACATGTTAACTATACCCCTAAAGTCCTAAAAATCTTCCAGGCAGTATCCAGAAAACACTGTCAGAACATGATGAGAAGCTCATGTTTTCAAGTCTTTTGGTGGTCAGGCTCTCTGTCTCTGTCTCTGTCTCTATCTCTGCCTCTGTCTCTCTCTCAAAAATATGAGTCTTTTTAGGGTTTTTAGAAATAAAGAACTTGCTCTGATTGCTTCTCATCATTTGTGAGAGGGAGCACATTTCAAACTGATTCTCTTTCCTTTGGATCCTGTACAAAGGTTAGGACTGGAGAATAAGCATTCCTATAGTGCGTATTATGTGCCAAGAATCGTGCTAAGCACTTTTACAAATATTTTACACATTATTGTATTTAATCCTACAACCACTAGTATCAAAATAAGAGATTCTTGCTTCAGATGAAATCGTGTTTTTTGGAATAAAACTGAGCTCAAAGTGGGGCCTAAGAGCCAGAGTTCCTTGCTCAGACCTAAGCCCAGGCTGGTCTCCAAGGAGGCTTCCTCAACTTTCCCCCAGCCTCTTGGAGTTCTGAGATTTGAAGATAACTTTACAACAATCCCTCACCTAAATCCTGGTTTAGGAACTACTAAGGGTCCCCAGCAAAATTGCTGACACAGCTGCAAGGTCCTCCTCATCAAGCCAATCAAATATTTGCCCAAGTGTCACTAGCTAGCCAGGGGGCCATCTCTAGTCATCCTGATCTATATCTTGCCACTGGACCTAGATGGCTCCAGAGGAGAAAATGAGGTTGGTGACTTTGCACATCCCTCCCTCACTTAAATGCAATCCATTTGCAAGTCAGGGCATCACCTTCCTGATGCCATGGTCCTCTTTGAGAACCAAGGATGAAACAACGACCACCAGCTAGCCAAGCTAAAGGGGCGTTACATGGTATAATGGAAAGAGCATTGAGTATGCAATCAGATGATTGGTCCCTCTTCCCACCTCTACCACTAGCTAGCTGTGTAGCCTGAAGAATGCCCCTTCACCTCTCTGACACTCAGTTCCCCCATCTATACAATGAGAAGGTTTTCTCTCTGAAGTTTTTTTCTGCTCTATAAATCTTGAGTCACTTCAAATAGCCCTAATAGAAGGAAGAATATCACTAACTTTAAAAAAAAAATTACATAATCAAGATACCTATTAGGTCTAGTTCTGCTTTACATGTACTTAATGGTTAATTATTGTTTGTTCCTGGTTTCTGTTTTACTTCTGTTTTAGTGAAGTAAAAAAACCAGAAAGCCAGAAGGATTCATCCCACAGGAAGAAAAAAGGGGGGAATGACTCAACCACTGAGATAGATTTCTTTTCTATTAGGATTAAAATTTAGAATTCACAGGGACCCTAGAGGTCATCTAGTCTAATCCCCTCATTTTACAGATAAGGAAATAGAGATCTAGCCGAATGAAATGAATTGCCCAATACCACACAGATAATGAGTGTTGAAACCAGGTTCCTTGAATCCAGAACTCTCATTCTTTGCACTGCACAGTGCTGCCTCTTTTTAGAATTCTGTGTACTTGTCCTACTAGATTGTGGGCTCCATGAGGTTCTTCAACTTTTGTTTCTCTCCCAGAACCTAGCCCAATGCTTCGCTCATAGCAGGGACATAATAAATGTTTGTTGTAGTTGCGGGTTGTAGAAGGTATAACTATCCCCAAAGGCCTCTCTGGTTTACCAGGATAAGGAGGATCCAAGTGTCCAATTTGAAGAAATAGGAGAATGTGAACTCCGATGCTCTCTTTTTCAGATGTTCTGAGTCAATCTCTCAGGCTGTTTCTTATTTAAGCCTTTTTCCTTGGATATTTAAAACAGAGCCTGACCTATTACAACATTATTGAGAATTCACATTTATAAATAGACTTTAAAATCAATTTTTGTCAGTTATCCTCTCCCTCCCCTACACACGCACACAAACAAACATACACTCCTGGGAGCTGGGTCAGCAGTTTATCAAACCCATTTCAAAGCCAGTGTGTGCAGAAAGGCAGTTTACTCAAGGTCAACAAGAAAGTTCAGAGGAAAAGGAAATGTCCCCAAATCCAGCTACCACTTCTGTTTCCTTGCCCTTTGCACATAGATCATCCACCAAGTTCTCTGGTTCCCCTATCCCCCTTCCCCAAGATCTGTTTGGTCCCCAAAGGAAAACAAATCAAACCATAATGGAGGATGGATGTAAAATACAAACAAACTAAATATACAAGGAAGACAATGAAATGAGTCTAATATGGTAGGTTTATAAGGCCTTGGATTTTCTTTAGGTTTCAGTAGATGCCATATTACTGTGCTAAAAGTTGCCCTCTCTGGATACTAATTTTAGGAATAGCTAAGGCTGTTGATGGGAGAAATTCACAGACATAACCTTCATCCTGGTTGTTCCTTGACCTTTTTTTCTGGTTTGGATTGTAACATTTTCCTTGGGGGGTGTGGGTAGGGAAAGGGGTGCTAAGGATAGTAGGGGGTGGGGAAGTAGCCTGTGTCAATTCAGAATGAAACTTAAGCTTGGCTTAACTGAAGATGGCATTCTCCTTCCCCATTTCTCACCAGGGTGACACGTTAGGGGGAAAAAAAACAAACAAACTCAAGGACCCGTTCTCCTTTTTAAGTTTCTTTTTTCAAATGATTGTTTATCTTATTGTAGTGCTTACTGCTAGCTTAGTTACAGAATTGAGTTAGAAGAGATTGAAGATCATCCAGGCCAACCTTTCCATTTTAGAAATTAGGAACCTGAGACTCAAAGTCATTTACTGAAGATCACTCAGATGCCCTCACAAAAATTCAAACAGGAGTCTTAAGTGCTCTTTGGATTGGACTTATTCTGAGGAAATTTAGACCAGGAAGATAGATATGTGCCACTTCTAGGCCCAGAGGTTTTAAAACATGTGAGAAGAAGAGACAAATGAAGGAAAAAAAATGCTT